ATCCTAAATGTATTTGTTAAATGTAAACAATGTTTGTAAATCCCAGGCCCTGAAGATGATCTCAATAAAGATCGAAACGTTGGCACGAGAAAGAAAATGTTTTTCTGAAACCTACATCACCCCAGACCGCATCTCATGATTTCTGAATAATTATCGATTAACGGTCATTAACCACCACACATAGTAGAATATGGTACAGTGAGCGCAGAGGAGAAACAACAATTGGAATGCTGTTATGTTTACTGAGTCACGTTTCTGTCAGTGAGTTCCAGTTTCATTTCCTATCAATATACAGACAGAAATACATTTCATCAGTAAACATAAGCATTCCAATTGGACTTGGTGCACCTAGTCTCCTAAGTTGCTGCAGGTCGTCTCAAAGATGCACATGATGTGAGGCCAACTAATGACTTGCCAAAACAGCGTGTACTTTATTTAGGATCTGGTGGGCACTAAGGGTAGCAATGACAACATTTCTGTCCTCCCTTAGTGGCATAATGCACTGAGGATCCATTACCAGGCCTCTAGGAAACGGGCTAAAGTCAAGGAGACCTCGCTCTGAGAAACTGCCTCTGCGATATCCACTTGCCGATGACTCATTCTCACAGTAATATTGCGGTTCAAGTTCAATTCAACTTCTGGTTCAAGATGATGTCTTTCCAGGACTAAAGGGAGTACAACTGGATTAAAATGGAGAAAAGACGAGAAAATGTGTAGTCTTCATGTTTACTGTTCTTAAGTGAATCTGTTATTAAAAATGAGGATTGACATTTGTTTGTTTTTGGTTTTGTAGTTTCTATTTTGGTTTTCTAACTGACAAGAATATATCGGTTAATTTAATTAAAATTAATAGAATAAGAATAAATTACAAATATCCCTATTCATTTTTGAGCAGTTTATATCAAATTGTGGACCTGTTTGAACCGACCACTTCATACAATGTGTAGGATTTTAGTTTGTGTGTTTTGGTCTGTTAGGCACGTTTTGTCTTCTCTCCACGGATCAAGGATATTTTATAGATCTACACATGAAATCGCAAAATGAACAAAATTTTTCAACGAGTTGACCTAATTACCTTGGCAGGTCTGTGATGGACTCGGCATCGCCGATGACTAGATGGTGGTCCTGCAGGATGTGCCTGAGACACTGCTCCTTCTCCCCTGGGAACAGGAACTCCTTTTCGCAGAGAATGCAGGGTGCGACCCGTTCCTGGTCCTCGTAGAAAAGTGGGCCGCGGGAAGTGGACGTGCTCGCCTCAGGAAAATTGAGAGGGCCGAACATCTCGTCGATGCCCGGATTCGAGGGCTGACTCGAAAATGTAAACTAGCGAGACCAACAGGACCAAAGTGTAACCTGCTGTCGTGTTCACTAACGAGGAACGACTGCAGAGTGCAGAGTGCAGACTGCAGCATGGGAAGGTTCTTTTGTCTGCAGCGTTGAAAAACCAATCGATACTATTAAAAATAGTCCTGTCGATAAAGTCAATAATCAAAGCTACATACATAACTATTATTAAGGACAATTTTTGAAAATAGTTATTACAAAGTTTTCGCCATCGAATTAACCCTTTTTAATTTCAAATTTACCCTTTTCTGCATCAAAAACCCCTTTTTGTTTCAAATAAAACATTTTTAAATTCAATTAACCGTCTTTAACTTTAAATTAATCTTTTTAAGATAAAATACAAATTAACCACTTTCAGTTTCAATTTTTTTGGTTTCTGAATCAAATTAGCCTATTTTTAATTTTCAAATAAAACCTTTTGAAATCAAATAACTGCCTTAAACTTTAAATTAACCCTTTTTAATATAAAATGTAAGCTTTAAATTAACCCACTTCATTTTTCAAGTTATAAACAGTTTTAATTGTCAATTCAAATTAATCATTTTTAATTTCAAAAGTTACACTTTTTTGCACCAAATTAACAACTTTTTAGTTTTAAGTAAAACCACCTTAATTTCAAATACAATTTATTCTTTTTAATTAAAATTTTTTTCTTTTCTGCATCAAACTAATCCTTTTTAAGTTTCAAATTAAACTTTCTTAAATTCAAATAACCGCTTTTAACTTTACGTTAACCTTTTTTAATATAAAATGTAAGCTTTTTTGCATCAGATTAACACATTTTTAGTTGCAAATTAATCCTTTTTAATTTAAAAGACAAATTAACCTCTTTTTAATTTCAAGTTTTTTTTCTCTTTCTGAATCAAATTAACCCATTTTTAACTTTCAAATAAAACCTTTTTAAATTCAAATAATTGCCTTTAACTCTAAATTAACCATTTTTAATGTAAAATTTCCACTTTTTTGCATCAAATTAACCTCTTTTTAGCTTCGGGTTAAAACTTTTTAATTTCAAATACAAATTAACCCCATTTTAATTTCAATTTTTTTTCTTCCTGGTCAACTAAAACCCTTTTTTACTTTAAAAAAACTTCTTAAAATTCAAATTAACCCTTTTCAATTTCAACTTTTCATTTTTCTACACCAAAATAATCCTTTTCAAGTTTCAATTTAAACCTTTTTTAAATAACTCCCTTTAACTTAAAATTAACCCTTAATTTAAAAAAAAAAAAAAATCACTTTTCTGCAACAGATTAACACATTTTTAATTGAAACTTAATCCCTTTTACTATAAAGTACAAATTAAACCCTTTTAATTCCAAATTTTATTCGCATTTTTGGTTAAAAATTAAACCTTTTTAATTTCAAATTTACACTTTTTTGTACCAAATTACCGACAATTTAGTTTCAAGTAAAAAACTTTTAACTTAAAATACAAATTAACTCCTTTTAATGTTAAATTTTCACCTTTCTGCATCAAATTAACCCTTTTTTTGTTTCAAATTAAACCTTTTTAATTTCGAATAATTTTTTTAAAATTTTGAATACTAATTATTCCTTTTAATTTCAAATGTACACTTTTTGAACCAAATTTTTACCACCACCAAATTTGAACCACTTTTTATTTGCAAGTAAAACACTTTTAACTTTACAAATTAACCCCTTTTAATTTCAAGTTTTCACCTTTCTGCAAGAAATGAACCTGTTTTTAGTTTCAAACTAACACCCATGTCCACGCATGGGCGTAATAAAGTCAACACTGTCATAAATATGGACGTGCTACTAACAATGGTCCAAATGAGGAGGTATGTGCAAATTGTGGCACGTCAGTATATAAAAATGCTGATAAATATCGGCAAAATTGTGTAAATTTTAATGGAAATTACTCAGCTGTCTAGTTCGTGTTCCCTTAATGCATTGAAGAAAATGGTATCCTAAAAAATCCTTTGCAAAGAAAATAAGTTTAGTAAATGCAAAGAAAGAATATAAAGAGTTGCAACCATCACCAGTTTCAAAACCCTTGGTTACTTTCAGCAACGGTGTCCAACATAAACCCTCCTCAGTACATCTTGCTCTGAGTCAAAAACTGCAGTAACCAACTTAACGGTATATATATCATTCCTGAAACCTTGATGCAGTTTTATATATATAAATAAATTTATTTATATGTATGTGTATTACATATATGATCCTTTCAATCACTAAATACTTCCCCCCACCCCAACCGACATAACAAATACAGAAGCAAACCCCCCACATGTATGCAAAACAAAGACACTAATCCACCAATAAGCAAAACCATTCTTCTACTCAAAAACCAACCCCCCACACCATTAGTGTTATATCGGGATTGATAGACACACTAAATACAGAAATGGATCAAGGATGTTGCCTTGAGGAACCCACTTTGGAATAGTCAACAGGGGAAAGTACCTTTGGACAGATTTTAAGATGAAGTAAAGTGAATGGAAGGATAAATTTACAATAATAATAATATACAATACATTGTGAATTTGTATTGCTGTTTTGATGATGGTGTTCATTAGAACTGTCATGTGATTGCCATATAATATAAAAATCCATAAATTTTTATATTTGTTTAAGACATTTTCTTGCTATCAAATAATTTTAATAATTGTAATGTAATGATTTAAATAAGGTTTGGTATGCAAAATTAAAAACAAAATAAGATATAATTTCTTTTTATTTATAATAGAATTTACAATGTATTAAAAAATAAGAAGTTTCAGAAAGGAAACTAACTAATACAAATATGATCGGGCAGAGAAAGGGTGTTTAATAAAAAAAAAACTTATTTCATATATTTAATTTCCTCTTTTTACATTATAGAAAACAAAACATAAAAATTAGTTTGAAAATAAAATCACTGGTCTTGTTTAGAAAAAAAAAAAATTAAAAATTAAATCTCCGTGTACACTTAGTATTAACAATTTTAAATCTTTTCTCCATTTGTTCATTTTATTTTGAAAAATACGATGAAAATTGTTTTAGGATTAGGATAGTTTAATGAAGAGGAAATGATAAGACAATTATTTGTAAAGAATAACTCACATCATTTCATAATTAACTACTGATCAGATCTTATGTTTTTTTGGACCGAAATGCCCTAGCTATGCTCAGACAGTATGTCGGTGCCTAAAATTATTTCTCATATTTACTTTTCCTTTTTTTACCACTGACAAGGAAAACTTTTTAATACTTAAAAATAAAATATATAAAAAAATAAATTAAATAAAAATGGGGTAAGGTAATATCAAATAGAATATGAAAGGTAAATCCTTGTTTGTGGTAAAATTCAAAACACAATGTATCAACATCTTATTACTAGACTCAATCCTAACAATATAACAAGGTACAGTACAATATTGGGTTATAAGTATTAATACGTGAGACTTAAATAACAATAATCCATATTTTTGTCCACTAAAATATCACAAAATTAGCAATAAAAAAAAAAAAATATGGTTGTTTGTATGAAACCCAACACTGAGTCACACAAATATTGTGACACCAGCCTACAAGAGTGATCTAGTCAGCTACGGGAAGTGTAATGCTGTGTATGCCTAGATAACTACAGGGTGATTTTTTTTAAATATTTCATTTTACATATATATTTTTTTTTTCTCGCAAGGGATATATACAACAGCTAAACATCAAAGCTTGCAAACCATAAGAAACACAAGGAGAATTATTTTAAGGAGATAGAGTTGAGAAAGATAGAAGAAGAGATAGAAGAGAAGAAAGGAGAGTTACTTATATATAATATATATATTATTTATATATCAAGTTTTTTTTAGTGATCATAACTATTACGGATACTACAAAATTTTTGGGGTGTATAATGTATATATATTTATGTATATATGTAATTTTTTTTTTATATAAGTTAATTATATTATTTATATAGATGATTCACAACTAAAGTTGGGAGTCGAGTTAGGCCTTTTTTTGACTTGAGGTAACGAAGCGGGTATAAGCAAGCGACCTCACTCTTGACACGCTGGCTCGCCGCAACGATACAATAACAACAAACACAACAAAAACATATCCAATTTACAGTACGGCATTTGTTAAAAAAAATACAAAAATCAATATAAAATAAATTTTTCTTTTTCTTATTTATTATTATTATTATTTTTTTTATCTAAAACATAGTTGATAATTGTATCACATTCATTTTTACTTGTTTCCAACAAACCTCGTGTACCTGTGTAGTGATATTTACAACAATGTACAGGCCACACACACTCCGTTAAATTTGATTCTTTGAATGCTGTACAGGAACATTACATTTTTATTATCATTATTATGTTTATTTTTTCTTATTATGTCATATAAATCTTTTAAAATTTATTTTGTCTTAATTATTTCCTTTTTTTTGTTACCTTACAAAATGTGGCACTTAATGAGAGAGTTATAAGAGAGATATCTATAGAGAGTATTATATATAATATATATAATATTAATATATATTTATATATATATATTTATAAACAGATGAGTGCTCCAGTAAAAAGATCCACCAGTTGCCGATTGGTGGGCTGATTCCGTTTAACACCTAGAAAGTAAACAAAATAACATTTATATTACATAATAATATAGTTAAAAGTAAAAAAAGTAAAACATTTTATTGAAAAAACAAATGATCGTTAAATCTTTTAAAATATAATATTTAATATTGTACAATAATTTACTGACTAATTTGGCCACCACTTTTCATTTTGGTCTGTACATCTTTACTTGATTGTTTTATCAGATGCATTTCAGAATTTTGCAATCTTCATTCCATGAACAATCCGATGAGGATAGGCAGATCAAAATGATTGTCGAGGACCAAATTTCAGGTTCATAAATTCATAGACAACATGAAGATATCTCACAATTTAAACAAAAAGTTGTTCCTTTATGTGTGTTTTTCCATTTATGATGCTTATTTGAATTTGAAATGTGCTCTAATTGGAAATAAAAAATTGCCTTCTGAATATGGTTGTAATAATATCTTTAAATTATGTATCGATACTTACTCAATTATAATCTGTTTCCATAAAGTAATTAAAATCTGGGAACTCCTGGAGGATGACCAGTAACTGTAAAATGTATAAAACACCAATTATTAATCAGGATAAATTGGTATATAATTGTAATATTAAAATACTTAAAAATATTAATTTGATCTTTATAATAATTTTCTTTTACACATTTTAATTTTTTCTTTTAATGAATTCTCACACTAGAATGAAAAAAAAAACTACTTAATGCTGCAGAAAAAAAGAAAATCATTCCAATAAAATATAAGGCAATAAATTATATTAGAAGCAATGCAAATTAAGATACTACGCAGAAGTTAGTAAAACTGGAGATTCTGATTGGGTGAAAGCAAGGCATCCTATTTTTGAAATTCTAAATTTTATAAAAAGACAGTTTGTTATGTATAATTTAATTTTTTTTTATATTTTGTTAAAATTCAAATACTTTTGAAAAATCTTTAAACATTTTTGTGCTCACACTAAGCAACAACAAAGATAAATATATATTTTTTTAGAAAGACGAGTTCATGCACGTATTGTATTACAGAAAAAAAACTCAATTAAATTTCTCCACATTAAAAATGATTGTTTTTAAAACTTAATTTAACATAGGAAAAAACATTGAGGATTAATAAGAAATGATTATAATAAATATAACGAATGCCTTGCGGCTCCCAGCCAGGATTTGTAAAGATATTAAGAGATAGTTAGTTAATGGCGCAGTGGTTAGTTTGCCTTGCTTCTATCAGACTAAATACTTTGTGAGTACCTGAGAGATAGACGTGGTTAAGCATTGACCATTTTTTTTGTGCAAAGAGGTGAAGCGGGTATTTTTCGGGGGCATGCGAACTGAACGGCAATTCCCAGCGTGCTAGCACTTACTTGCCATCCTCCCAACTCGTACTGCTCAAGCCGAGAGATAAGCAACACAATCGAGAAATCACTACACATCGACTCGCCACTCCTTTACATCTTTAACGTCTTTTATTCATTTTTAATAAAAAAAAAAATAAAATAAAAAAAAATAAAAAAATGATATTCTGGATCAAGGTAAGGAGAGAAAAATAGAGAAAGATAGAGAAATAAATAAAGCAATTTGATTAATTAAAACCATTCATGCATTTTACTTTGTAGCATTATTATTACATAATACTGTACTTGACAAAAATTACAAGCAACTTTAATTTATATAAAGGAAAAGCTTTTAACCCTTCCTTGGGCATTCCCTACGATAAAATCGTTATAAAGCGTTTTACGCCTACAAGTTTATAAGTATATATATTCTATAACTGCTATGCAGGTATTAGAATCGTTGGCTAATATTACAAATGATTATAAATACACTGGATATTAGAATGCCATTTGTTTATATATTTATATATTTTCTTTTGGTATTCTTTTTATTTTAAATTTACTCATTTGTTTTTAATTCTAAGAAACAACACAGTAAAATTTCTAAAATTCTATTTATGTTTAAAACACACATTTGAATTGAAATTCCTTTAAATATATTATTGATAATAATATTAAAACACTATACATCACATTCACAAAGCTAAACTTATATTTTAATTAGTATTATATAATTAATATTGGGTATTAATAATATTTTCACGATTTATAGATGGCTAGAATAAAAAATGCCATCCTCTTAAAATTTATTATTCACAATCATACTTGACAGACAAAAAATAACATTGTTTGGGACACAGAGTGCACAAAGAATTTACATATCGTATTTTTTAATTTAACTTCCTTTTCACTATAATATTTTTTTTTGTATAACAATATTGTTAAGCAGCCTAGCATGCTATGTGGCAAGAGGCACTTTGTGTAATGTTAATGGTCCGTTCTTTTGTGAAAGAGAATAATTAATTGTTATTTAATTATTTGTTTGTATAAAAATAGGTGATGTAGAGACACTTGGGCCTTGCGACTAACACCAACAGAAACTATGATAGGCTACAAGCAAGCCGATAGTGCACTCCTCGCAACCAACAAGCTCAAAAAATAAAAAACTACTAAAACTTAATCGTAAAGCATTTATATATTATAAAATTTATTAATTATTATTTTTTTAAGTTAAAATTTAAACAAGTAAAATACCACCACCAGGAGATACTTATTTTTTCTTCTTCAAAATATACATATTTATTTTTTTTGGGGTAATACATTAGCCAGGAATGCAAGTACCTAAGAACTAGTTCACAACCTAAAACGAAATCCCCTCACTAATGCTTTTTTCTCTTTTCCGGGGGAAGATTCCTTAAAATTTTCATTCTGTTTGGTGTAATTATGGGTTGAAATAATTACTTATGTGTAAGTTTCCAGGCAATTCTTTTCTCTCATCTTTGGTATTGAATTATTAAAAAACAATTTCTTATTATACCAATAGATTGTAACAAAATAGTATTTATTATAGTACATGCTTTCTTATAGAAGAAATATAACTGATGGATAAAAACGTGTCAATTGTTAGGAATCTTGCTATACTAAAAACAATGAAAATTCAACCAAATAGTTTTTAAGGATATCACCTGTATTTGTAAATCATTTCTGTAAGTTTAAACAAGTATGTAGAATGTTTAAAATATTTTTTTAAATTGAAAAATCATGGTTAAAGTCACATTATACCATAGAAAGCAAAAAATTGTGTAGTATCGTTGATAGTTTGTTTAATGATTGGTAATAAATAATTATTGATTGGTAACGTTAAATAATTTCATGATTCAATTTTAACATTTAATTTAACTTTGGGATTAAAAAAATTGTAAAAGCTTTAGAAACACTTTTTAACTTTAGTGTTGCAACTTTCAAACTTCCAAAATTTCATTGATTTAAAAAGCTTTAAAGTACTATGTTAGTTTTATTGGTAGATATAAATTCATTGATAAAAAAATAAATTAAAAATAAATAAACATGAGATTTTTAAAGCATAAAAGTTGCAAAAAGGTACATACCTGATAGCTTCTTCTTTTCTTAATTCTTAGCCTTCTAAAATGTTTTTGCAGTTTAAAGGGAGCAGCGCCCTTAAAAGTCAATTCTTACTTTTTTAAAATCGTTAAATAAAAAAAAAATTCTATTTATTTCCTAATATATCCAGGCTGTGTTAAGCAAATGGGATCATATTTTAAGGTTTAATTTCAAAAGATAGGTAGTTTTGCTACCAGGAGTGCTGAAGCAAAATTGGTCCTTAGAATAAAGGGATTTTGTGAATCTTCCCCGAATAATTAGCATTTAACTATATACAATAACAATATAGACAAAAAATATAGTAAAGTTAATTAATTAAAGGTTAGATTTATTTAAACAAAATTGTTCTTTTATAAAGAACGGTTCTGTTTCTGTGCTGTTAATTTAAAGGCGGTGTCTTAATGAAACTTGTAGTTTTAAGCAAACTTAACAAACTCAAAAAAAGTAGTGAAGCTAAAAAAATAGCAACAACAACAAACATGATAGCCAACAATATAATAGAGGGGGGAAATACAGGGGTGAAAAAAAACATGCTCAACTTCGCAAAAGAACGAACCACCCAACAAATTCTAGCTAAACACATTCAAAATGCATTTTTTCTTTTTCCTTTTCAATTATTAGACCATTGTTATTATTTAATTATATTAATAATTTAAAAATTTCCGGCCACCCTCAGTATTATTAAACTCACCTCGTAAATAAAACCACACCAAATAAAAATATAAATGAACCGCAAAAAAAGAAAAATCTAATTAAATTGTTTTCATTTCAATTAATATAAATTTAAAAGTATTTACATGAAAACTTCACTCTCTTATAATGAAAAAAATATTCCAATTTTTATAATACAACAATTTACAGGATAAACAGCATCAAATAATAGGATATCAAAAATTTAACATCTTAATAAAAAAAACCTTCATAAAAATATAAAATAAATAGAGCATGATTAATTGAAATCAGTGGTAACTCTAATATTTTGCAGTCCATTTAATAGAATAAATAATAAAAAAAATTAAAATTAAATAAAAAAAAAGGAAGGGAGAGGAATATAAATGAGGGAGGCCGGTTTTAAAATTAATTCTATACAATTTTTTTCCTCTCCAATAATTGGACGTTCTGATTAGGAACTGCATGGGTTTTTATATGTTAATTTAAGTGGTTTTCATCTTTTTGTATGGTTGTAATTCATCGTCATTGTTATTGTTGAGCGAGGATGAGTACTGGGCGGCAATAATGTCTGATATGAGAGGTGTAGGCGGGATCGGTGGTGGTCTGACTAAGGAGAAGTGGGAAGTCGAGTGTGACGGGGCTGCTGTTAAGTATTGGTGATGTGATATCATTTTGTTGAGGGCAACGCCTGTGAAGGCGGCTGCCGTGGTCGCGGGGCTAGGGCGGTACTCACATGAGACCGGGACAAACGGCTGGAGCAGTTGCTGGTATGTTGCCGATGCAGGCTGGTACACTGGTACTCCTGATTTGTCTCCTGCCGTCCTTTTGTATGGTACCATATTTGGGAAACCCTGAAATCAATTAAGAACTCATTGAATTTAAATACACACAATTACTCATAAAAAAATCATTGCTGCAAGTTTTTTTTTTTTTAAATTACAGACATCCCATCATACATTTCTCATAAATAAATAAATAAAACAGCGAAATGGGCAATATATATATTTTTTTAAATTTAGCTACAAACATATATTGATAGAAATTCATCAATAATGATATTGCACCTGTATACCACCAAGATAAATTAAATTTTAACTCAATTAGAAAACCAAAGACATTCACTTTGAACATTGAAACACAACGTACACAATTTAAATATTAACAAAACACAAATATAATCCCACTTCTTTACATGAATTTAATCAAATTGTTGTAAATGGCAATTAACTATGAATCAAATAATTATTTAAGAGCAATCAACGGGGAAATTAATTTAAATTGGTTGAAACATTTTCAAGTGATATAAATTAATTGAATCTTTATAAATAAAATTAGGAATGGAGATCTAATTATTGATTTGATTCAATGATTGATTATCATCAATATTCTTCAATTTTAAAGTATGAACCACTGTCTGTTGGTGCAATACTGGATCTAGGAAACTAGAAGGCACATGGACAGGAGTATTTGGCCCCAAAACCAAATATTCAAAGCCCATGGGCTTGTACACCAGAATATTTCAAGTGAATGATATAAAAACAAAGAATAACTGACAAGTCAGATAGACAGGCATCCATTAGTACGTTAACATCAAATATCATTAGCTTGAAATTGCAAACCTAAAATGAACAGGTTAGGCGTACAAATCAAAATATCCTCTATTGGGTACCAGTTCTCGTACGAGTCATGGGGGATGAAGAAAAATGTATCTTTGCAAGGAAATGGGCTGCTAAATTGTTGGTAGGTCTTGAACCCTTTTGTGATACAGGGATCCTTACTATCAACGAGCATCTTGTAAATGGAGACATGAAATGGAGAAAACAATTTAATTCGCTCACTGGGCACAGAAAATCCAAAAACCTTTTGGCGAGATTTGGAAATAAAGAAACTACAGAATACTTCAATGGAAACTGGGAGAGACTGTGAATCCTTCCAGGATTCTTAATGGAGCACTTGTGAAAGACTGGCCTCAACCGATGCGGTATGATTCTGTGAAGAATGAGAACTATGCATCTATTGACAAACTGAGCTTCTACGCTTATCCACAGGAGAAATTGCTTTGGAATAGATAACCGTAGAAGAAATTAAGCAACAAAAACCTGGTTTAATAATCAAATTCCTTTATAAATGCAGGCTCACTTGTGAAGTACTACAAGTATAGAGAAGGAATATAAGCTCTTTTAAAGGATGCAGTACGCCAAATTTCTCTGAATTTACATCTACATCTACAAAGTATGAATAAATGACAAACTAGGCTATCTTAACAGACTCCTAAAACTAATTTGTCTTAAAGAAATTAATAGAACAAAACTATTTCTAAAGGTCTTGTTGAGATAAATAATCATAAACATTTTACAATTACATTAAGTGATATATAATTATGTTACATACCAGAAACAAAGCATGTCGGATAATGACTAATAATTATTGATAATCTAACACAAATACATTCAATTCCACATCAACCAAATACGTACAAAATTAATTACATGTAAATAATTAAATCAAATAAAGTAACAATACACCTTTTGGTCAATTACAAAGCCCATACTTTAATTCAAAACAAATGTTAGTAACATTTTCTTTGTTAAGCTTAAATTGAACACAACTGTTTATAAAATTCATAAAAAGAAATGTTCAAAGAGCACAGTGTCATAATTTTTGGACTGGTCTTAATTGCCTTAAGGTGTAGTGGAAGTTCATTTTGAATTTATTTCTCTCTGTCAATTTTTAATCTTTTGAATTTAATTAAACTTACAAAATTTTCGTAGTAGAAAGAGCCTACTGACTTCATATCCATCTGAAACAGTAATAATTTGGGTAAGCATATTTTTGTAAAGCGAACTACAAAATCTGGGAGTAAAGTCAGTTTATTTTTGAAAATTTAGATTTTCTTTATGTAACATGTACACAATAATGAGAAAGGAGAGAAATAATACGATGAATGTAAGTATGCCAATTTAATTTTAAAATTATATATAGCAGAAAATAATTAAAAAATGAAATTAAAAACAAATGGACCTAGATAAGCTGAAAATTGGTACATGTCATCAGATATTAAGGAAGGAATACGTTAAAGTATTTTCTTTTTGTTTTAAACTACTTTTAAAGGAACTACTGTATATCACAGCCACAACTGAATAGATTTTTGCCTAAAATTTTGTAAGTTTATTTACATGTTTTATTGTGTGCTTTTTGAAAAGAAGCAATGGCATACATCCATCACCAGAATAAAATAATAAAAACAAAACAAAATCTCGAAACAAAGAAAATACTCTTTCTGTAATACACTGGTAAATTGAGATGCAGTAGTGACTGTGTGAAGCTTTTACATGCTTAGCGAGTTATTAGAATGTTGTGGCCTGTGGCCTCACCAGTTAGAAAGCATATTGGCACAACATGCTAACAACAAAACTCTACAGCAAAAAATTATATAGTTCTAAAAGTTACACAGGTGCACTAGTTTCATTCATTCTAAGTTTATTTACAGACATCGACCTGGCATTTTTGTGTCTCTATGGGGGAAAAAGCAGATGAAGAGGGTGAAAAAAAGGAAAAAACTAGTGCACCTGGGATTATTAAATCGAGAGGATAATACAACACCAATAGTATGAAAAAGCACGGTCACATGACTAAGCCAAATAAGAAAAGATAAAGAATATACTTAAGTGGCATTGTGTAGTGTTACAAGGTTACATATAAATAATTCTACATAAGCATATAAGGCAGATGAGTCATTTTTTTTAACTCTAAGGATTTTTGTGGAGGAGAGTGGCCAGGAACATGTGACCAGCTTTCCATACTCTGGGCAAGTGGGGAGGATGTTTTATTTTCTTTTTTCTTTTCTTTTCTTTTGTATTATAAAGTCTTCCCAGAGTTCAGGCTATTTATTTAATTTTAAAAAAATTAATTTTGAATATTTTGTTTTCAACATATAGCGAGAAATCAGTGAGGACTGTGCAAAGCTGATCGGTACCAGGATTAGGTCGTCTGCCGGGTCATGGGCTCTCTTCCGCTGTTGCAGCGCGATCGCTCCCACGCTTGCGCCTCCCTAAGTTAGCAGCAACAGCCAAGCCAAGAGGGGAGGCAGGCAAACCAAAAGAGAATCAAACAAAATAACAAACATAGTTAAAAAACCACGCAAACTCATTATCACCGTTTTTTTAACTTTATGCTTTGCTTTAATAATTTTTTCCTCTTTTAATCTTTTTGGTTTTTGTTTTTGAATTTTACCATGCTCAAAGTGGGAAAAAGATAAAGATGGGTAGAAATAAAAAGATAGATAGAAAGATGTATTTGGCAAACAAGCCTTCATTAATTCAACTACTTTTGTTAATTTATGTGAAGTGCATAACATTACAACACTGGCTTAAACTTAATTATAAGCATATTAGGGGATTGTTAAGAACTAGTGGCACATGTTTATTTTGTTCTTTTTAGTTTATTACCATCAGTTTTAGAGCATAACATGAAAAGAAAACTAAACTTTTAAAATTTATTTTGAATCTAAAATAAGTTTCCACAGTCAAGAGTGGTCAACTTTTATTAATACTTATCGACTAGGATCTCATGCAAAAAAATTAAAAGGGCATAAGGCCCTAAGCTCTTTGACTAACATCTAGCAAAACTTAATTTACGACCTCTGCTAACAAGCCTTTGTGGTCGTTTTCTTACCAATTTGTGATTGTGATTTAGCTACGTGGAACATTATTTATTAAAACATGCTTTTAATCGGATATTGCTTAGGACAAAAGCAGTGTAGTCATAAAATGTAAAAATAAATACCAATTTAAAAAAAATTGTCATACTTACCAATTTTTCATGTAATTAATTTAATCAAATCAAAGAAAAAGCGTACAACTATATTACTTACCCAGTGGAATGCTAATGGGCTGAAATTAATTTATAAGAAGCAAAATTAAGCAAATATCCTCTCAAAAGCAATGATCGGCCCATGCATTTAAAGGGCAGTGTTCCACGCAACTATTTTATTATCTGGGATAGGATGATAGGGTGCTATACATGATACATTAGCTACAATAAATAATTTAATATTAATCTAAACCCCAAGTACAGAACTAACAGTACGCCGTTATCTGTCATATCTGCAGGTAGCCTTTCCAATTAAATAAATAAATAAGAAAATTAGACTAAAAAAAGGAAAAAATAAAAGAAATACGAAACAAGCAAACCATAAAGTTTTAGTAAATAATAAATGCTTTAGTAATTAAAATTAAACCTAGCTTTGTTAATTACCACTACCAGTAAGTTTAATTAACACAGATACAAATTAATTATTAGAAAATTAGATAATTTAATTTTGCCAATTAAATAAATTGTTTTAATTTAGTTTATATTTATTCACATTATATCTGCTGTAGTGAACATTATTTTCATTGCTTACAGATTCAGATTAATCTTGCTAATATAATTAATTAATTGCTTACAGATTAATCAGTAAAATTTTGCAATGTGTGTGCAGTCCAATCAAACATGTTCTAAATTATATTTAAAAGTGGATATATTTTATTTTTATTTTGTTCAAAGATGTGTATCCCAGGAGGGGGACAAAATTAACAACGATCATGGAATTTGTGACGAGGAGAACCATTTTCATAATGATTACAAACCGATGGTTATAGCAATTATTATATCAAATTTATATATCTATCAAAAAATAGATAATAGGAATATTCAATAATACTTTATTATGCCATTAAACTTGGTTAATTGGTTTATTTTATGTAATTTGCCATATTCGGTTCTAATGATAATAAATGACTATTGCGCTTGGGGTTAATTATAATTTAGCACGACAAATTAAGATTTATTTCATTTCATCCTTGTAAAAGAAAAAACTGCATAATTGACTGGAAGGAAAAATTGTGTAAATTTTTTAGAAAAAGTTATTCAAAAATTTGTTAGCTAATTATAAACTAATTCTTTCCGACTATATATTATGTTGTAATTTGATTAATTCTGAAGTAAAAAAAGTATAATGTTAAAATTTAAAGCAAATACAGTGAAGGGGTGTTATATTTAGAAGAATAAAAAATATCTGATTTGCGTATGTAAAACTCTTTTGCCCTTAACTACTAAGCATAAAAAAATAAAAAATAAATAAATAAAATAAAATAAAATAAAAAATAAAAATAATAATAAATAAATAAAAATAAAAACTGGAACCAATAAGCTAAGAGAGAGAGAAAAACATAAAAAAAGAGGGAAAATCACAAAAGAAAGAGAAGCTAAAGGATAAAAATTAGAGGTAGAGGTAAGCGAAGTGAGGAAAGAACCTTTAGTATCAAATGCATACATGTTAGTATCTGTACGTTTAAAATGTTCTTTTAACAGTGGATCTCAAGGTGTAAAATATGAATAAATAAGGGTATGTTAGACTAAAAAAAGCTAGACGATAGAGCGTTGGGCTTGCCAGCAGGGGGCCCCAGGGTCGTTCGCTTCCGTCTTCTTCCGGTTTGAAAACGCGCATCGACCACCATCGGACACCCAAGGAGAAAAACGTTGATAAATTGGAAGACGGTCGAAACGACACTGGGGGAGCATAGAAGAAGAAAGATAAGCCTTGGCCGGGATGTGCATACCGAGTGGGCTGCCTTGATAATGGCTTGAAGGTGGAGAGGAGGGTGGAAATAGCGGCATGGGGTTCGGGAGCACCTCCCGTTCAGCGCGTCCATACATACGGTGACTGTGTTGTCCGGGCCTGGGCTCACAGGCTCCGATGGGTGGGCGTACCTGCACTCAAGCCTTGTGCACGTGCCTCGCTGCCACTCTCGGCATACCTAGACCACCGCACACCCTCACACACATATCAACACCCACTCTCTTTTTGCTGCCACATCTACTCTCGCCTACTTCCCGATCCGCCTTTGTACACTTTACCCGTATTGGAACTAAAAAAAGGGACGAGGTATGGTACATGTAGACCACACCCTCCATTGCCATACCCGAAGGCAGTATTGACAGTACTAAACCCATAACCCAAAAAGAACTGGAGTGGATTTACATAAATTGAAAAACTTCATTGTTGAAACATCTTACTTGAATATCCCCCCTCCCCCACTTCATTAGACTGTGCAAGAGGGCCTTTTTTCAAATATCTTACATTTTCAACCGATCATCAAGGACTGATATACTTTTTGAACTGGCAAGTATAGGATCCCAGACGTGCGCCACCTCATCCTGTTGAAAAATGCTCTTCTAAACGACTACTTTTCAATCTATTTTTGTGGATTAAAAAAAAAGTTGCCATAATTATCTTGAAGAACAAGAAGTTTACATTGTTGCCCTACTAAATTATTCTGAATGCCAAAAATTTAAGAAAAACAAAGCTTTGCAAGCTGCTATGCAAACTGGACATCTCACCTACAAAAGTAGGTAAATTTTTAACAAAGCTACAGTTTAACTGCCCTAAAATGTTATTCTATTTTCAGAATATTAACTTATAGCAGACTTAAACCAAATGTTTCTGAAAAAAAATAAGAAAAAGAAAATAAAGTTATTCAGTTAAAAACTGCCTTTCCAACTAGCCTACAAAAGTAGGTAAATTTTAAACAAAATTGCTTTGAAGTTGAATTATCTTGAAGATACATTCTTTTTTTAACATTGCTGCCCTGAACCAAACGTATTCAGAATGCCAATAAAATGAAGAAAAAATGAAGCTACTCTGTTGAAAACAGCTAAGCAAACTAGAAATATCACATAGAAAAGTAGGTAAATTTAAAAAAAGTTGTTATCCAGTTTACCTGTCCTGGCATATTGTTTTGTCTACAGATTGTTAGCACGTAGTTGACTTATACCAAATGATTCTGAAAGCGAAAAAAAACGAAGAAAAAAAATATAGCTATTCTTTTGAAATGCTTTTCCAACTAGTTTTTTTTTCAAAAGCAGGTGAATTAAAAAAATGTTGTGCAGCTGAATAATCTTGAAGTTATATTCTTTTTGTTGCCATGTACCAAATGATTCTGAATACCAAAACGAGATATTATTTCTCACATCTACAAAACTAGGTAGACTTTAAACAAAGTTGCTTTGCAAACTAATCTTGCCAAACCGTTATTTTACATAACATTCACGCAATATTGCTCCTTACCTAATGTTTCTGAATGTCAAAATAACGGAAGAAAAATAAAATAAAACATACTGAAAGAAAAAGGACAACTATTTCTGAACGAAAAAATATAGAAAAACGCCACTCTTGCAAATATGCATTAAACATTTTCATCAAAAGCACGTTGTTTTAAAATATACTGTTTAAATGTTTAAAGAAAGTGGCTGAAAAAATTAAGAAATAGCGTATTTTTCTTTGTAAAACAATCTTTTGTATTTTGATTGCAATTTCGTAAATTTTTTAAGTTTCGCCGACAGAATTCGTCCATGGGTGTAAAACAAGAGAGGAAAGTATATTTTGAATGTGATGATAAAAAAAATCTAATTAAAATTTCTAACAAAAAAGTTGAAAATAAGTAAATAATTAGAATGTTTTTTTTCTTATCCAAGAGTTATCAAGATAATCGGCAACTAGTTGATCAATTAAAATACCTGATATTTAAAAAAGTCATTCTACATGATAACAAAATATGAATTTGGTTTGGTTAATTTCATACAGAAAGGCAGAACGTCCGAGCCTGATGAGGCAGGCGCGCCTGGCATGCTTTCCTTGCGAGGAAGTGGAGTGTAGACGGTGAATGGCGCATTCGTTCAAGAGCAGGTGTGCATATGTTTGTGTCAAAAGTTCGAAGTAGAAACAGACAAGTGAAACAGGGTGAAGCAGAGAAGAAACACAACAGACATATAAAAGATTAGTGCATTAATAAGTATACAGTGTGAGATTAGCCCATGCTAGGTAGGGGGTGCAGCCTTCTTTTCTCTCCCTTTTTTTTATTTATATACACTATAGTAGTTTTAAAACGGGTGAAACGTATTAAAAAAAAACAAAAGAACGAAATTAAAATTAAAAGGAATTTTTCGGGTGAAAAAGAAACCGAAAGAAAATCCAAACCTCAAAATGAAACCCCATGCAATACAATTAAAATCAAAAACACAATGTGCGTCTAAAGATAAATAAATAAACAAAACTGTAAGAAACGAAACGAACACAATTTTTTCAGGGATCAATAACGGAGATGTTGTTGAGGGATTGATTCTTGTTAAAGGGAAGGATTGGGCACTCTCATAATTAACTACAGACTAATTACAGAAGAATTGTCGGTTTGTTCTGACTCACTACTTTTCCTCCTCAGCTTAAGTAGGCTTCCTCGGTATGGCATAGTTTTGTAGAAAGTGTTAAGAAGGAAAGACCTCTGGAAGCCTACAAGGAAGGGAGATTCGGAAGGGTATTTGACGTACCTCTAGCCTGTCGGTGCGTGGCAATTTCTGCTGTGTGACTACTGCAGTCTGCTGGACGACGCTGAGGGGGGCTGTAGGATCCGGTGCGACCGTGAGGGGCATTATTGGCCCGGGGGAGAAGTAAGGAGAAAATGTGCTGCCCACCTGGGGTACGCCCGCCAGGTAAGGCGTCGTCGCCGCCTGCAAAGCACACTAACATTATTATTAAGAGATATCGGAACCGGCAGAGGTGAAATCATCAGTAAACCCACAGAAGAGCACAAAATCCGAATCCTTCCCAGGTAGTTATGAATTAACAAAATCAGATTTGGTGTTCTTCCGTGGGCAATTGTAAAATTTACTTACAACTGCGGTTGGTACTTGGCCCGGTACGATCGGCTGGCCGGGGGTAAGGCCCATTTGTTGTATAAGTGCATTTTTGAGAGCGAGGTGATTCCTTCCGTTGATCAAAAGCTGGTCTTTGAGGTGTTGAGGTGGATGGAAGTACTTGCAGGGAGGTTTATCACGATTACACCGACCCTGGAAAAAAGAAGAAAAGGAAAATAAATTAAACGCTATAAGGAGGCAAACAAGAATCAAGTGGAAAGAAAAAGCGGAGCAAACACAAGACAATCTTGTTACTGTCTTGAGGTGATTGGTCGAGGGTGGACCTCGCTTGTTGAACTTTCAAATCTAACTGATTCTCTTTGGGCAGAGGGTTGAAGGAAGACAAACACGCCCTGGCTACGCCCATTTGGCCAACATATTAAATATTAATTCTATGTTAATGTCTGCCTTGCTTGAACATCATCCGATCCATCACCACAATTTGCCACGCTTGTTTGTGTTTGAGTGAAAATTACTAAACCGTTCCTGTTACAAACTCAGTTCTATTTCTGAAATTATTAATGTTAAAATAGTGAAACTTTATGAAACTACTAAATACGAAAGATATATCTAGCGACACCATTTTTTTCTTCAGTGTACATGGCTCTTATCACTTATTAGTGTGTTTTCAAAATAACTTGATTACCATTAATTTACAATGTTTACAAAGGGATAATTATAAAAATCCAAGTTTTAGGATTCTGGCTTTGTTGACTTAAAATATGTATAACCCTTCTATGCCTCTTGTGGCCCTGTACAACCATAGTCCACAGGTTTGTATTCGCTATCCGAATCATATTTTTGATATATTAAAGATCAGATATTCTAGCGTAATGTGTCGTGTCTGTAGAGAAGCGGAAGAACTTTTTCTACAGGTATGTGTGAGGTAGCTATAGAGCCTTTTTCACTGTCCATCAAAACAGGACCATTGCGCCCTCCTCATATGGGCTAAAGCTCACTATCTAGCTTCAGGTTTTTCATTAGCCTCCATAACCTTGATTCAGCTTTTCTTTGCCCGTCGGTAGTAAACTTTACCTAGTCATGCCTTCAAGGCATATAGGGTTTAGTGACTGGGAGTTTTGGTGACCCTGAAAAGGGCCGGTGTTGTTTCGTAGCGTCTGACCATCGGAAGCTTTTTACAGTTAGGGGGATACAGAACTCTTAGCCCAGGTTTTTGTCTGTTGATGTCTGAAGGGTGATGAGACTATGGCGTTTATCCATTTGCACAAAGATATTAAAATAGATTAAAACATTTTTTTGATACGATAAAAGATGAAGCCAGTACAGATAACAGGAGGGTTTCAGAAAAAAGGTCTTTTCTAAGACCACGCAGCCTTTCATTCAGAACACTTTCTTAAATGTAAAAGAAGCTTTATCAGGTTTTCTTTGATCTAGAAAAAAAGTACGACAGGGAGATACGGAGCTTAAAAATTGTGTCTAAGAGTTAGCAGTTCCTTCATAAATTTTTAAAATATACACTTTTAATGAGAAAGTTCCGAGGTATAGTTGAACAAAATGGATTCTCAAGTTTTGATACTTTTTTTTTTCGCCACTCAAAGCTTTGTAATTGGTCCAATTACAATATTAGGGCTTTCCTCTCATATCTTCTCACAAGGTTCGAGCTAATTAGGCAGCGGAATTTTCCGTTTTGATTTAATCTTATCCCGTTTTTTATCACCTTTACGAAGAAAATTTAAGTTGGCGGGGAAAAAGTTTATTACGCTAGGAGGCTATCAAGATGCATGAAAACCTGACTGCCAGACCTTTTCAGAGATATTTATCGGTGTTAGAATCCTCCTTATCTTCACAATCATTGAAGATTTGCTCATATTATCGAATGTGGCCCAACCATACACGAGTCGAATAACGGTCGACACAACTTGAACGTGATGCAACGCGACGCAACTTGAACGCGATGCAAACTGCGACGCAACTTGAACGCGGTGCAACTGCGACGCAACTTGAACGCGATGCAACTGCGACGCAACTTGAACGCGATGCAACTGCGACGCAACTTGAACGCGATGCAACAGCGACGCAACTTGAACGCGATGCAACAGCGACGCAACTTGAACGCGATGCAAACTGCGATGCAACAGCGACGCAACTTGAACGCGATGCAACTGCGACGCAACTTGACCTTTCCGCTCGACCTAAACCTGAGGGTATCCCATACATTTTGTCGATTTTTGTTCAGCCTATTCATGTCTCGCCAGAAGGGTTCTCATCACATAAAAAGTGTTTTTTCTTAGGTGGTACAATGAGTAGTTCAAGTGATGAGGAGGACATGTTCTACTGGTACCGTCAAATGAAAACGAGGCTAAGAAAAGAATGGGTACATCCGTACAATCAATTACTGATTAAGCCGGGGAATTAAAACAATTGAATACACTTTTGACACGTTGGCAGAAAAATTCTAAGTACTCAATAATCCGATAAGTTGCTGATACCTGAATAAGATCGATGACATAATTAGAGTAGTTTGTTTTCTTCACAACTAAGTTAGAAAAAAAAGATGGCTCAATTAGGCTCCACAAATGTTGGAATGAAATCCCTATATCAATGGATTTGATGATGAAAGTTATTTTATGCTACCACTTCGAGCAAAAATAAATGCTAATTCACCCGCAAATATGTATATTTATCCCATTATTTTGTGAAACCAATGGCAATGGAACTACTGTTTTTAAATGGGTAAAATTTAAATTGTATTAATTTTTTTTAGTTTATCCGTTTTAAATTAAATTGAACTACTGTTTTCAATTTGCAAGTTGCTGCACCGTAATGTACCTAGTTAGTTCAAAAATAATTGTATTATGTACCTCCTTACTTTATTATGTATTTCAATTAATTATTCTTTTTATCTAAAATCTTGGTAATAATATAATAATAAAGTTTATTAAACTTATAAGCAATATTATAATAATGTGAACATAAATGTACTCATTAAAAAATAAACAATACGACATGGGTACTCGGTCTGCCAGAAGGTGGTGAAAACATGGTAGAAATAGTTGTAATGGTGATAATAATAATACTATCATTTGTCGCCGAGGATCGAATCCTGATTATACGACATTTGAAAAATGGCAAAAAGGAGGGAAAATTCGAAAGGTTGTAGGTTGAGATGGGGAGTTGGTGTCTGAGCGGATCGAAGTCACGATAGTTCAAGTGGTTAGAGCAGCGTTGAGCCGAAGGTCGTGGGTTCGAATCACGCTCGTGACACTAATTTTTTCATTTCAACCGATACCTTATATAAAGATTAATTAAATAATCGGACCACGAAACATAATGGATTTAATAATAATACTGTAAAACATATTTTGGCCGACTGAAGCACTTTGCAACCCTTTAGGCAATGGTTCAACTTTCGAGTGGTTTAAAGGGGTTGCTAGGTCCTTAGTGTTTGTTTCAAAGAGCATTTCAGCTTTCTTAAATTTATAATGAGATTTAGGATACCTAGATAGATTTAAATGTTTGTCTGCTAGTATTTTAATGAGAGTGGTACAAGATTCCTTTCCTTTTTCAGGAATTTTCGAGGCTGCCGAGCGGAAAAAATGAAATTAAATCAAATAAAAGAAAATAAATCGCTCGACATTTAAATAAGGAAAGTTACCTAAAAATAGGGTATTTATAGTACTTGTATGGAAGAATATACTTGTATGGATAACGACGAGCCTATACTACTTTTGCTGAGACTGTTTGTTGCTAGTCTGACTCCATAATTATTATTATTATTGGCCATACAAGCTATGGGGAATGTTTAAATTATGGAACAAAAATTTGAAATTCTAATTAAAGGAAAGGAATAAATTATATTTTAAATTTTTTTTGCATCCATTTGGCCTTCCAAATTAAGTATTTTAAAAGAATAAATTAAAACTGGATGGTTTATGAGTGAATGTTTGGAGTCAGAGCTTTATATCAGAAGAGATATAGCTAACATACGCTTGTGACGGGAGAAAAAGTCAATTGATAGCGTGAATTTGCACATTTGGCCGACCGGCTCCGGATTTTGACAATGACGTAATTTAGAGAAAATAGAAGCGGAACAGGCTGGAGGATCGAGGTCATATCAGATTACATATTAATGCATGTTAATATGTAAAGCTGAATGCATAATGGGCTCAAAAACTGCACGGAATATCTAAAAAGTGTTAAACGGAAGGTTTAATAGCAGTTTTTTGCAAGTTATTCTTTCAAAGAGAAAATTAGTCTGTTAATTTTCGACGACGAACTTGTAATACGCTTGCGAGGAGTCGAGTGTGTACTAATCCGCTTAGCGGGCTCTTAACGTCTCTTACGGAAATTTTGTTTCTGGTAAAGCCGGTCGTCAAAAGGGTTCGAAACGAGTAGAACCCTAGGGCGAGAAGCCACTCAAATACGAAATAGTTGCGCAATAAATATATAAAAGGGACGAGAAGCGAAGGCGAGGGTACCGGTTTTGCATAATCCCATTTGACCGGTGGTCAGTCACGGCCTCACGCTCGTATTGTATGCGTTAGCTGATACGAAGGGCTTCCACTTAGGCATTAAATGTTATCACGGCCTTTAAATGGAAGTTTTATTTGTTTTGGGGGCCTGGGATATCGAACGTTCCAAATAATTAGCGATGCGTGCAAAACAGTCGGGAATTAACATTCAACGGCTATTGGCTTCTATTCACGATGCTGCGCAACAGAGCTCGAGCTATCCTGGCTCAAGAAAAGCGCTACACGTCGAGATAAATAAACTATCTCTTGAAATTTCTTCTCGAAAATCTAATGTTTGGTCATTTCCAAGCATCTCCAAGGTCCACCCATCCTGGCTGGCTTAGTCTGCCAGAAGAGTTTCCTCGTACCATTATTCAGGTTTTCTTTTTTCGTTGTTCCTTTTATAAGGTTAAATTTAAAAATTATACCACACAACAACACCCAAAACTGATAATGCTATGGAACAAAACAGCGAGACTCAGCTGATCATCTTGATCGGTAACGACCAAATACGGGTTCATTACTTCGTCAATCTATCATGTATAAACTAAAGAACTTGAAAATTTCCACTTGTGCTAACCGGAAAATCGACTGACATTTACAGTTTTAAAACGTGGCGATGATTGATTGGTTTCACATAAGGGGGATGATTCATCAGATGTGCACGTCCATACCATTACC